TCTGTATTCTGCTTTAATATCCTATTTTCATTTTAACTTCCAAAATTTTGAATTTTCAATTTGGTCTAAATTTTCGATTCATATCAATATTTTACTCTTCAAATGTTCTATTTATTACACTTTAATTTCTAAAATTTCAAATTCTCCAATAATTTTAATTTTTCATATCATTACATATCTAAACAATTTCAATGTTCTAACTTGATATCATATTTCAAATCCACTTCAATTCCAGAATTGTAAATTTTCAATAAAATTTCTAATTTATATCTAAACTTAATTTGTTTCAATATCTAAAGCTCTATTTATAAATCATATACTATTTATTTATATTATATTATTTATATTATATTATTATATTTATAAACTATAATAATTATAATATTTTCATATATTCAATATCAGCAATATTTATACTATATTATATTTCAATTCACTTCAAAATTGATAATTTTGAAATTTAGAAATTATAAATTTTGAATTTATAATTTATTTTAATAGTGTAATCCATCATAAATGCACTATTTATCTCTATTTTCAAAATTTTAAATTCTTTCATAATTTCTATTATATTTATTCCATATTTTCATATTTATATAATTAACATCTATGCTTGATATTATATTTTTAATTCATTTCAATTCTAAATTTTCATATAATATTCACATAGCTAAATTTAATGTTCTAGTTTGGTAATTACATTTCTAATTCATTTCAGCTTTCAAAACTCTAAATTTTTAATTCATTTCTACTTTCAAACTTCATTTCAATATTTAGCTCTTCAAATTCACCTCTATTACCAAAACTTCAAACTCTCTTATAATTTCAATTCCCATATTCCCATATACTCTCAACAGATTTTAATATTCTAGCTTGGCATCATATTTCCAATCAATTTCAATTTCTAAGTTTCTAACTTATTTGAATATCAAATTCTTAAAATGCCTTATTCATCTTAATCCAAAATTTTGAACTCCCACGTAACTTTTAACTTTCAACTCTGTTTCCAATAATTGATGTTATATTTCTAATCTATTTCAATTTTCTAATTTTTCATTAGACTTTTACCTCGAGTATAAAAAATATAATCTAAAAAATGTTTATAAACAAAATTATATTCAAAATTCGAAAAAATCTTGAAACTTCAAAAGAAAAATACTTTATATATAAAATTCATAATGCATGTAGGTAAAGTTTCATTAAAATAAAAATTATTGCGTTATATAAATAAATTTCTTGAGATGATTTCAAGCAACTTTTTCTTTTATAAAAATTTTCATTTCTAATTATTAATAAAAATAATATAGATTACATAGATTTGTCACGATTTATTTATTTTTATTTATTTGAATATGAATCATTAGCGAATCGTCGAACTCGACACATGTTATTTCGATTGTTCGTTCAAGTACACGCTCTATGATTGGCCAACATTTTTCGCTAATAACTCGTTAACAAAGCCAAAACGAAAATTTCCGCAAAGGAAAAAGTTGCTTGAAATCATCTCAGGAATCATCGATTAAGCCTTATTAATCGATTTTTTGAGTCGTTGTATTTTCAATATTCATATCAATTTCCAATTTCTTCTCGCAATCTCAATTACTCCGAAGCCTTAAAATCCCAGAATCGTTTCAGAATCGAGATCTGAAACGATAAAATCGTTTATACCGCGAAGTATCACGCGTTTCCAACTTTCAACCACGAACAGGATAGAAAAGCACGACGGAAAATCACAAACGGTCGTGATCACGAACGCTTTGGAAATCCGTCCGAAACGAGTCAAACGGTCTCGAACGATTTCGAACCGGAAGTTTCTCTCTCGCACGACTTCTACATCAAAGCGCATTCGAGAGAAAGTCGGACGCCGATATAGCAGAGCACGTGTGAGAAAAGGATGCCACGTCCTCTGCCCTTGTACCCGAAACGAGCTCCTCTCACGAACTTGTCGATAACAGTTTGGCACCCCTCGGGCCTTTCCACCTTCGCGCCACGAGCACCATGCTTCGAGAATTCAATTATCCCGTCGCAGCAACGACTTCGGTAAAGGTAATGCGAGATGAACGAGACGACGGCCATCTTGCTGGCAGGGATCCCATGTTTCTTGCCCCTGTGTCCTTGGTTCGATTATGATTTCAAATTTACGCGAGGAGGAAACAAATTTGTTTTTGAGGATTCTTACTTTTATTCGTTTTTTATCAATGCTTTTGCATTTAATGTTTTTGAGCGTTTAAAAAAGATAAATAGTGATGCGTATTCTCTAGATTTTTATATATTCAAATTTTTCGTGGATGCATAAATATTCTCTAATATTCTAAAATAAATAAATAATAATAAATAAAAAATAATAATAAATAAATAATAATAAATTAATAAAATAAATAAATATTCTAAAATATAATTTGTCATAAATAATTGGTTAAATAAAAAAATATTTGTCATCTCATTTTTAAAAAGAACTTAATCCTCGAAGGATTATATATTAAATTTTATAATGATAAAATTTTCAACAATTTACCAATTTATTTCAATGTAAGAATCAATGAAAGAATGTTGTATGTAAGAATCAACGAATGAAAATAATTTATAATCTATTAAAGTGAATATTGAAAAAATATTAAAGATTTGTAACTATGTTATATTAAATGTTTTTATTTACTAAAAACTTATCAAAGTGAAATATTATATTTATTTTATTCTGTTAAAAATGCATTATTGTGTAATTATGAGAATGAATGAGGAAAGTTATTTGACTATTATAAAGAAAGATCGTGTTTCAAAAAAGATTGGAAAATATCTGGTTGTAAAAGTAATTTATGTTCCACGTTTTTATAAATTAAATTTAAATACAGGCAATTTTCATATAATTTAATGGTAAAATTCTATGAAAACTACTTCACGTTTATTATTATTATTATAAATGTGAATTTATATTTCATAATGATTATTTTAAATAAATTTACTTATCAAATAAATTTCATTTATAATTCAAAATATAAATTATAGAACAAACTTGTTAAAATTATTACATATATAATAAAATAAAAAATTCTAACAATTGTTCAATCAACAATTACATTGTATTAAATATCTGAAGTGTTTTATATAATTGAATTAAAATTATTGATGAAATTTTATAAGTATAAATTAATAGATTAATAATAGAAGCAATAAATTTTAAATGAAACAAACAAAAATTTATTAGAAAATTTTACAAATTATAAATCATTTGATTATTATATTTCGTATAAAATCGTGAAAGAAATTTTCATGTAGAAGTAACTGCATCGAGATATTAATATCGTTACAGTATCTATTGAAAATCTCAGAATGGGCTATTATAAATCATTGTTCGACAAAAGCCTGTATAAACTTTATTAATTAAACGAACATAACATTTTGAGTGAAATTCATTGATCTATAAGTGTTTGAAATTATTTATAACTGTTTAAACTTTCAGTAAAGTTTTCCTTTATTGAACATTCATAAGACTTTGTAGTTAGTATCGAGTTTTTCGTGGTAACCTTTGACTAACAAACTCGATAGATAGATGGTTGATTAAAGCGGTTTGATCGATTTTATGAGAAATTAATAAATATTTTTCACAATTACAGGATAAAGAAAATTTTTTCGAATTTTCCAAAAGAAAATTAATTCTCATAAGTTTTAATATATATAATAATTTGACAAATTAAAATCATTTTTCATTTTTCTTTAAAAATCAAAATAATAACTTTAATATATAAAGTTATGGAAAATAAATATAAATTTAGTATGCTTAAATATTATTACTTATTTTAATTCAATTCGATGATTTGAATACTATAAAATATAAAGAGACACCTGTGACTTCGCATAAAGGAAGAAGACTTATTACCCCACAGTGAATTAATATTGAAACAAAAAAATATCTCTATTACTTTAAATGAAAATATTTTTTAAAAAGAAAAAAAAATTATTTTCTTATCATATATATTTGTAATATTTTCTAGATATTAAATTTTCTTAATTCTTTAATTCTTTTTGGATATTATATCTAAAGATTATTATATCTAAAGATAATATACAATAATTCATTTCCTAAATTAAAACGAATATAAAATATACAATAATATTAGAAAAATTAATTATTTTGAAGTTAAGAAACGAAAGAATAACAATTTGTAAAATTAAAATTACGAAATGTTTCAGATAATCTCATGATTCTCGATATAACGTTATATACGATAAAAAGAAGAATCACGATGTTTTTTTGCAATCATTTAGAAGTTAAAAAAAATATAGGAAAATAATTAAAATCTCTTAATATTGGGAATTGGGACATTGGATTGAGGTTATTGTGAAGTTCATTTAAGGGTTGAAGAAGTTCCACAAATTTTTCGCTTGTTTGAATTCTTCTTATTTATAAAACAGTGTAAATTATTTTTAAATTTCAAAAAGTTTCTTCTTTCCTCTATTAATTTATGAGAATGAATTCGTAAAATTCACTTCAAATCAAAGTAAAATATGGAAATATGATAAACTTCAATGAGAATTTAAAAAGCAATTTTTTTATTATTACAAATCTACTTATCATGAAATTTATAAAATTTATATATAATTTATTACATTTCAAATAAAAGTAGTGAGAAGAAGATAGTAACATTTATACGTAGAATTTCGCTTTTGCTTATACATTCTGTTTCTTCATTTTTTATATTTCTCATCTCTTTCGTATTGTACACATGCTACAACCATGCTATAACTCAAAAAAATTACAATTTTAAAAGAAAACGATTTCAAATAATTTGATCCGTTTTAAAAATATGTCATAATAAAATCAAATTAAAAAAGTACAGGCAATAATATTTTTTTTTCTTCTTTTTTTCCATGTCAATAAATCAAAAATTGTAAATTTTAAATTATGTTGGAACAAGTGTGCGATATTCCTTTTATTCTTATATTCTTTTATTTATATCCATTGTACCAGATGACGTTATGAGGTTGTTTGTATTCTGTTTCAGCCCTCAATACCTTAAACCGCTTAAACAAAGAAGGTGAAGCACTTGCCCTCCAGGATGACCTCACAACGCACCCCACCTTGGCTTTGATGCGACGCATCCTCGCAGATGCACAGGTGAGTCCCACAATTACTTTCGATATTTCATACATTGTATATTTTATACATAGTGAACGTAAAAAAAAAAATTTTCCAATATTTATACCTCCATACAATTATTAAAGAATTATTTTTATAATAATAATTTCTTTTTAATGTTCAAATTACAAATTGCAATCAAAGAAAAACAAAAACAAATTTTTAACCAGCTATTTTAAATAACAATTTTTGAAATTTAGTAATTACGATAATACACTTTTTAACTTGCGAAAAATTTTTTTATTCTATAAATATTAATATCTTTCATGTTTAATATATACTTTTAACTAAGGATTAAGGATTAAATATATTTATTTTTAATAGAATAATTTATATAATTCATATAATAATTTATTTTTAAAATATATATATATATATATAAAACTATAAAATTAAAGTCTTATTATAAATAATAAATAGATACTGTTAAATTAACCATAAAACGATGAATAATTAAATACCTATTCAAAATTTTCCCATTCACAAATTACAAATATTAATAAATTAAACTTCCAAACATTCGATAACACACTTTCAACCGATGAAAGAATCAAATATCTTTACTCTTAATTAAACATTACATAAATATCAAAATTAATACCGATCATTTTCACGGTGAATTATTAACGAACCGTGGCTCTACTGTCCACTACGAATATTCAAATATTAATAAATCGGACCTCGAGTGTCCCTTCACATTCGTGAATATTACGAATATTAATTTTAATATGCATAAATCGAGCGGATCCCGATGATATTTTTCCCCGCGCTTTTAATAATCACTCGCGAAATCATCGAATCAATAATCCATCGGGGGTTGATATATGAAAAATTTATATAGATATATCGGATACACTTCAACGCCGTTTCCGTTTAATTATCATCGACTCGTGTAACGAGTTCCATCGCGCGAAAATCGGGGGCGGGGAAACTCATTCGCGCGGAATCACACAGTTTATTTATCCTTTTATTATTGATTTAATTAAAACGGCCAATTCAACCCTTTCCTTCGATATACGCCCTGTCCAATTTGAATCGATCCGAGCCGAATATCTTGGAAATTATTAATGAAAAATATTCAAGAAAGTTTGAATGAATATAAAATTTTGTTTTTTTTTTTTTGTAATAAGAAAAAGTTTTTTGAATACATAAATCGATGTAGTTCACTTATAACAATCGACTAAATATTTAAACTATTATATTGTGATATAACGTGTATAAAATCGATAATCTTAATATTGATCTAAGATAATATAAAGATAAAATTGTAAATTCAAAATATTATAAATTAATCATTTCGATAATGTAATAAATAAGGAAATCATTATAATACATTTAAAAAGATATGATTCTATTAAAAAACACTATGTTGGCCTTGTATATGTCTTCTATAATTTTATTTTAAAAAAAATCTCTTCCACCAAATGATATATATCCATTGAATGATTTATAACTCTGATTCAAATATTTGTAACATCTCATTTCATAAAAAGAGTGTAATATACTATTTGTTCCAATCCTCCAGAGTAATGAATTCGAACGGGAAAAACTGGTCGTAGAACATGGTAAGCCTTTCAGAATTTTGCAAGAAAAAGAAATATTTCCTTATAAATAAGAAATATATTTAAGAATTATTTCTCTGACTTTATTTGATGTATTTTAAATCGTTTCGACGTCATTCGACTAATGCACATCGTTCGAACATTAGAACGGACATAAAAAAAAAAAAAAAAGAAAAACAATATACATAATCAATATACATAAATCAAAACACATTATTCCATCAGACAATTCGAAATTTGTCCGAAAGAAAAGTTATAAATGATCAAAAAAAAAAAAGACCAAATAGTAATAATTTCTAGATCTTATATTTCTCGATATTCCTCTAAAACCTTCCAACGGATCGATTTAAACGGAAACACCCTGTACTCATAAATTTTCCACCCAAAATGAAATAAACCAACACGTCTCACGTACACGAATTCGTGAATTTTCCTCTCGTTTGTTTTCCTTTCCCTCCCTCTTCCCTTTTCTTCTTTTTTTTTACTCCTCTTTCCCCATTTGACTTTCCAACCCTCCCCCTTCTCTCCACCCCTTGCTCACGGGCATTCGGCGGCGAATCGCATCCCGTGGCCGGGAAAAATGATAAAAATTGAAGGAAATGGCGGAAGCGAGGGCGCCGCAATTAAACGAAACGTCGCGGATCACATGCACCGTTGAACACGTTATCCGACGAATCTTGTCTGGCCATTATTGCGGTTAGTCCGAAATTAACACGATTAAACGGCCGACACGTGATTAGTAATTAGTTCCATTGGATTGTGGGATTGTGGGTTGTTGATGTTTCGATTCGGGAAGGGATGAATGCGTTGTTGCGTTCTTTGTTCGAAAATCAAATCAGATCTCGGGCCATTGTTCGACCCGATTTGAACGGGTCATAGGATGTGAGATAGGATCTGTTAGGATCGTGTTGACACGTGGGAAATGACGATAATGTGTTTTTTTTTTTTTTAGAATGTTGCAATTTAGGTGAATTACGGTAAATTGACTCTTTAGAATTTAATGGTGTATTGCACGAGCGTGTGTATTCATTCATTTCGAAAGTGTGTCAAATTCGGTCATTAATGACTTATTTTTGAAATGTTTTTCACTTCTGCTTTTTCCTCTGCTTTTTATAATTAATATTTCTCTTCACTAGTTATTTTTCAATAATTTATTAATCGTTATTGCTGATATATAGGATATTAATATATTTTTGAGATAATTTTGAATCCTGAAAAACGAAACAAATAAAATATAAAAATTGGTTTACGAAAATGTCGATTGAGGATTTTATTAAGTGAACGATTTAAATTTGCATTAGATCAAGCGAGATGGTTCTATCTCATATTCTTTAACATAAATTTGAATTGCTTATTTAGTAAATTTCAACCGATATTTTTATACAATTTTTGTGTTTATTTTCCCTTTTAGTTTCTTTTACAAATTCAATATATTAACACTTTTTCTTTCTATTATTAATACACACCAACTTTTTAATTATACCATTTTTATCTACATAATTCATAACATATTTTAACACAGTAAAATAAATATTAAATAATATATAAAATAAAAAATTAATATGAAATTCATCATGCGAATTGTTATATAATCGTTACAGTTTGTTATACACGTATAAATAAAACAATGATATAAAGAAAAAGGAAAAAATAACAATATAAAGTATAAAATATTCGATTATAAAATAATTTCAATAAGACAATTCAACTGTCGACTGAGAAAAACAATTTTCAATCTTAATTCTTAATTGCCTAACAACTACGATTATCCATCAATTTATTTTTGGTTTGAAGATCAAAATCTTCGCAAAAAAAACGAATATTAGACGTTACAGTGGTAGAAATAATTCCAAAATTAGATAATAATTTCTTGCACGGACAGAGATTTTCTCACAGCAGTGATTTCCCGTTGGAAACGAGGAAGAAGTGGTATAAGTCAATAACTAATCAGGCATCGATGCCCAGCCAAGCGCGATCTTTAATGCCATTACCGTTTCTTCTTCGCCTTCTCTTCTGCTTTATTCCGGTCAAGAGAGCTATCATCTTGCTTTCTGATCACGATTCTCAGTGAAAATTCGCGCGACAATTCTTTCTGAAATTAACAAAAAGATGCCCCAGACAAAAACGAGGACGTGGCGGAAATTGTACGAGGAGAAGACACATTTTCAATCTTGTCGGCGGAATGATCAATAGCACAGATGAAAAATATTCGAAAGAGGGAGGAGTGAAACTACACTAGAATCTCGAATTTAAAATCGTGACGATCGATTTTTTTTTTTTTTTTTTTTTAGATTTAAATTCGTTTACCTCTCGTTGTATTATTATAACGAAATTTTATTGTCGTAAAAGTGTCGAATAAAGATTGAGAAATTCATTTTCTCATTTTGTATATATATATATTAAGATTGATTATATAAGATCATATTATATTCACTATAATTAAGGATATTGATAGATCGCTTTTATTATAAATATTTATTCATTGTCATTGATTGTGAATGATCGATTGTTCTCTTTCTTTCTTCAAATTGTTATATTTTGTAAATTAATGAAATTAATTTAAGGATATAATAAATAGATTTTTAAATAATAAATATTATTTCTATATTATTCATTTTAATATTATTTAACTTAATTACTTTATTTATAATATAAAAATGATGAATATTATTTTAAATATTTATTTAAAATTTAATTTATTAAATTTAATTTGTAATTTCCAAAATTTAAAGTTATTTAATTATTTATATTAATTTAATAAATTCTAATTACTTAATAGCATATATATACCAAAAGAATATTATTATTTTAAAGATATATTTTGATTAAAATATTTCTATTTTCACTGAAAATCAAAAGTCACCATACATAAAACGGCAAGCAAATGAAGTGAAATTTAAATGGAGAATAAAAAAATTTAAATATATTTTTTGCCTCTCTTTCCACATTCTTGCTTACGTGTGTACACAAAATGCCATTGTATTGTTATTATTATTTCGAGTCCACTAATTTCTCCATGCACCGTTGATCCGTGCGGAGTGTAAGCATGATTCACGCTCTATTCGTGTACCAGTTAATGCGTTTTCATCCGAAGGGAACCTAAATGAAAAATGCAAAATCAGGAGACGCTCTTCCGTTTCATCCCCGTTTCCACTACTCTCTTTCCCAACCTTTTTCTCGTGTGGCGCGTATTCATCGAGCTGCTAAGTGGTATCCTACTATGCTTCTGGTCGTGAATCGTCGTGTTCTTTTTCTTCTCTTTCCGGCGCCCTTTCCATTTTTCACCGTATACATTTCCGATTTTATGGAAATGGCGGTATGACGATGCTTCACAATGTTGAAAATTTCTCGAGGAATCTTGGAAATTTATTTTAATTATTGTTATGTCGATGCTTGAAATTTGGGATTTCAATTGCG